AAAGTTATAAAAAATGCATAGAAATATTGGTTTTCACTCTTTACCTCTTATCATGCCCAAAAAAGAACATTAAAAATGAATGGCGAAATTCGTTGGTAAATGAAACGACCGAGAACAGTTCAAAGAGAAATTTTGAAATATCATAGATAAATATCTATAGAAAATTTAATTTAGTATTAAACGAGCATCGTGGCCGAGTCAATAACCTGTCAAGATATACCGCTGCTGGTTACGGGTTCGATCCCCCATGAAGAACTCTTTTTTCATCTTCTTTTTTTTTTCATTTTACTACAAAAATTGTTCAAGGTTCCTCTCTTTTAACCTTTCTAGGTTGCCCAAACTTTATTTTAAGTTTATATATTTTTTTTTTTAATTTTATCTATGACATAATCGACTACTATTTTAAACGCCCGCTCGTAGCGCGCGACCGGCGACTTGAGCGATTGCGGATCCTCTCTCGCTGAGGGGTCTCCTATTGCTGTTACTGCTGCCGCTGGTTCTTTTAATCTTATAAATACTTTTTTATTTGCAATCTTCAGTTCCAGCGCCCAGTGTAAACTCAATAAGATTTACTATGAGAAAATAATTAGCTGATTTCATTACCTGGAATCAATAATCTTGAGAAGCAAATATGGAAATGAGCATTATCTCTGTCAGTAATTGTTCGTCCACGTGGTTCGTCCAGGTGGCGCGAAATTTCTTAACTGGTGTGCATCTTTATATTATTCTACTTATACGTAAAGTAAGCGAAACGACAATAGTAAGCAGTTAAATAAACGATGAAATTCTGGAAATACAACTTCCGAAACAAGTAAAACATACACGTGTTTTTGGCGTCTGGCTAGTGCACCCGGTTACGAATCGGGAGGTCCATGGTTCGAGACCCCTCTATGGAGAGCACTTTCTCTTTACAAAAAAAAATGTGCTTTTGCAAATACGATTAACAGGTTAAAGAGTATATCGAATTAATCTATTTATCTTATTACAATAAAAGCATAAACAACGACAACCTGCGGGCTTCCACATCACCCAAGAGGTGCCGCAGTCGATGCGTTCCTATTATTTAACGTAGCGGGTCCCCAGTAGGCCTATACTACGATCAGCGATATCAACGTTACACAAACGATCTATTTAAGAAATTAAAGTATAAACGAATGGCAATAGGATATCAAAAGGTTTCGATTAGAAAATCTTAATAATATGAGTTCTGCACTCAAATATAAAGTTTCTTCATTGAAGATGATTACGACAATTATTTTACATTATATTTCACATACACATGACGCGTGTAAATATCTAAAAGTGAGGGAAATTGAGAAAAGGACAATTGAGAAGAATAGTATATCAGTTTATTGAGATCACGTACTGGCGACTTTAACACAAATGTGTAGGAATCTGATGGATCGAATCTGAGCGGGCGTCTACAACAATGTTGCTAACTATCGCGCGGAGGACGTGGTGGGGGTATGTCAAGCATATACTATAGTAAAATTTTAGTTCCAATCCCAGCGGGTAGATGGCGCCCCGAAAATCCCAAGCTATGTGGCGACCCACGAGGCAGCAGCCAATCAGATCCAAGGACTCCCGCAGCGGTGGCGCCCTCCGGATCAGACCCTTCGAGAACCTTCTAGTCGTCTCGCATCACTCGCATCTAGCACACCAGCATGTCCGCCTTCATGTACACGTTAACTAATTAATAAATATATTGTGTGTTTTATATTATCTCCTGCAACACTTACTTACCTGCCTCGCCCGGCCACAGCTATCTTGTGGCGCTGCCTATGAGTGGGGATTTGTACTAAAAGAGACTGTAGCGCGCAGCATTAGCAACACAGCATTAGTCCAGTTAAATAGAGATATAGTCGAGAATTTTAGTATTCATTTTCGATGAACAAAATTTATTTCTTACTACATAGCGCATGTTATTTAGATTTTTCAGTCGAACCATTTTTTCACGTTATTGTGATTTGCTTATACGCTAATTATTTAAATGGATCATTTGTATGACGTTATTATTTTCGATCGTAGTATAGGCCTACTGGGGACCCGCTACGTTAAATAATGGGAACGCATCGACTACAGCACCTCTTGGGTGATGTGGAAGCCCGTAGATTATCGTTGTTGATGCCTTTATTATAATACAGTAATAAATAAAATTAGAAAAAAATTGATATTTGGTTCGATTTTTTTTTACCTTCAGCCTGCAACCCGTACAACTTTTGAAGAGCTTCAAGCACTTCACGCCGGTCAAATCAGTATTAAATTTTAGTAATCGTTTTTGTAAATTTAATGCATTATGTAATATTGGTCAGGTAATATTATTGGAAATTCATCGCTCTGAATGTTTTTATGGGTTATGGGCACTTGTCATAATACAAATAACGCTTCACTGCAATCAATTAATTCATAAAACTTTGTAAAAACGATAAAAAATATTGAGCACGGATTTGACCGGCGTGAAGCGCTTCAACCTCCTTAATACCTTGTATTTAAAAAAAAATCATAACGTCCAGAAGAAGAAAAAAAAACCTCCAACGGAGAGTCTCGAACCACAGACCTCTAGTCTTCTAACCCAATGCCTTGCCTATCAACCAGCATCATGTACTTCGTATACTTTCTTCGCAACTTGTATTTCAGTAGTTAAGTCATTTGCTCTATCGCATAATTGACAGATAAACCATATGCACGATTTTCCTTTAAA